GCAGGAATGGCCACAAAATGTATCTTTAGGATGGTCAGCATTTCCATATAGACATTCCAAACCCATGAAAGTGGTTATTCCAAATTTAAGTGATGCCGGACTTGATTTAATAAGAAGCATGCTTATTTTTAATCCTCATAAACGTATTGCAGCAACTCAAGCTCTCAATCATTCGTATTTTCTTGAGGATGATTCTTGATGTTTATTGTCTCGATACAATTGTATGAAAAGTCAATGAAATAGGTAATTTTTAAAGATATCTAGATCACCTTTTTTTTGTACAAATTTCAAACAAACATTACTACTATTTACTACGTACGCTTATATATGTATGATCAATATAAATTATCAAATATTTTTAATTTTCTGTCCTATATATATATATATTTTTTTTTTTTTTTTTTTTGTAAACTTGTAAATTTTTATTTAAAGTATTCAATTATTATCTAAAGCGTATTTATAATTGATAAATGTATGTATAAATTTAATTTCAATTAGCTTAAATATCGACAATTTAATTTAATTTACGTAGATATATAAGAATAATGTAATTAATTGATAAGGCTGAACATTTTTTGTGAAGGAGTATGTGTATTAATTAACAAATTAAACGTATTTTACAAATATTTCATCCCTATCGAGATAATTTTAGTAATTAATAAGATAAATAATCTAATTTTTTAATTTTTTAATTAAGCATTGTTTTCAAGTATATTACATTAATGTATATGTAATAATCATTTAAGAATTAAAGTTGTTAAATGTTGTAAAATATTAGCTCTTCCAAGGCAATAATATATAATCAGAATAAGATAGATGAAGATTTTGTTAGAAAAACCAGAACGCTCACTGCCATGTAATTAAGATTTAAAGCGGAAACAATACACATAGTTTGAAAGTTTTGTATCTTATATATTATGTTAGGTATAATTATTGTAAATGATGAAAAAACAAAAAAAAAAAAAAAAACATGTTCTTTTGTACCTTATACAAGTTTTTATTATTTGTATTAACAAATACTAGATCCTGTAAGACTGTATAAAAGTAATAGACATAAGTAATAAATATTTTATACTTTTGTAAAATGGCAATTATTTATTACCTTGAAAGTTTAAATTAACCACTTTAATACTTTCGAATGCATATGATGGTCATGAAATGACTCGAGTTGTTGTCATAATCTACCATTTTTTATTGTATGTTCGTTTCATTGTAAGTAATAATTATGTGAACGCAGCACATTAAACAATCATTACGCTTAGCATGAGATTTGTATTGGCAAAAGCCGTTAATCTATCGAGATGTTTTAAGTATCCAAACGGTGTTTTTTCGAATTACACTTCAAAGATCAGAAATATGGCGTCCGAAGTGGAAAAAGCACACATTGCTACGCCCGGTGGAGACACAATTTTTGGAAAAATATTACGTAAAGAGATTCCTTGCAATTTCATTTATGAAGACGATCAAGTAAGATATCTCAGTATTTTTGAAGCTGCGTTGAACGAACAATGTATTTTAAATGCATTGATTTCTTTCTAATTATAACCTAACATTGATTCCATTATATTCTGTGTATATGTAAAATTTGACATTTTAAATTCAGTGTGTTGCTTTCCACGATATAAATGCCCAAGCTCCAGTTCACTTTCTGGTCATTCCTCGTAAAGCAATTTCACAATTATCAACGGCCGAAGATGAGGATGAAAATCTCTTGGGTCATTTAATAAATGTTGCCCGCAAAGTAGCAAAACAAGAGGGACTGAAGGATGGATTTCGCCTAGTAGTTAACGACGGTAAAAATGGAGCTCAATCTGTATTTCATCTGCACATACATATTCTTGGTGGGCGACAAATGCAATGGCCACCTGGTTAGTCGTATCAATGATATAAATAATATAATATACAAAAACACTTTTGTACGTTTGCTAATGCGAATAAAATTTTATTTACAAAAATATAACGCCTATAAAATGTTTGTCCGTCTCTCACAAAATATTATTTTATTTACAATCTTAATTTTCTCTTTCATAAACTTCGTATTCATATTGAATTCCTTTCTCTTCCTGAATGCCTTCAGGTACCTCCGAATCTCTATTAAAAAGTCAATAAATCTATTAACTAATTATTCTTATTAAATTTTAATAAATGATTTATACTAACTTGACTAAAACAAAATTGTCTGGAAATTCAGGAAAGAAAGTATCACATTTAAAATGCTTTTTCACTCTTGTTAAATATAATCTATAAAAATTTGGTGACTCCATTGAAATCTAAAATACGTTTTTTGTTCTTCTCATTGCCAAAGACACAATATAGAATAAACAAGAAAAATTGAAATTTACGTACTTTATAAATTGAACTACCTCCGATAACCCAAACCTGTTCAATTTTATCATTCAATGGGCTTTGAGATAATTTTTCTATCATATCGGGAAGACTTTTACAAACTACTACATCTTCTCCATAATCGCTAAAAATATATTAAAAATGATATTAAATATATCATTTTAATATATTTAATATATAATAGAGTCGATAAAAGATGACTTACAGCGATTGAGAACTTAGAACCATATTTATTCTGTTTGCCAAAGGCTTATACTTTTTTGGAATACATTCCCATGTACGTCTACCCATTATCACAGCATTTTGTTTATTACTGTCCTTTGTCGTTGTAGTCATTCTCGTAAAGAAATCCATTTCTTTTCTATAAAGTAATCATGAAAACCACGCATTCCATATAATAATTATGCATCGTCAATTAGTATATTTAATAATTACGTTTAAAATTTAAATTTTCAATAATGATAATGAATGTCGATAAGAGGTTAGTTACAATTTTTCTTTTTAATTATATCTATTTAATAACGATATTACTTTAAACGCCATGGTAGCTCTCCATTAATGCCAATTCCCATATTTTCGCTTGCCGCTGCGATTAGTTTCAGCTTTACTTGCATTTTTCGTATTTTTTTCTTTGTTTTATCAAACAAAATGAAACTTTGCCTTTTGATTGATAATCAATATTAACAAATATTGTATTTACAGTGTCGAATAATTGGAATAAACTTCTTCTAGACTTCTTGCTTATTGTTAATCAAATAATTATAATGATCAAGATTTATATTACATAAATGTGTAAAGTATATGTGGTGTAAATAAGGAAATAAACAATTAAATGGCAATCTCGTTTGTCCAACATTAAACAGAAGAACGTCTGAGACCTGATGAATCTCGTAATGTCAATATGGTTTAATGAATTGTCCAGTGCCAATATTTATTATTTACGTGATTTTCCCATTACAATTCATAATTAAATTTGAATTTAATTTTGCTTAATTTTGCATATATTGTATATTGTAACTTAACGTTTGCATTGACATTTAATTTGTTTGATATTTAATATGACTAAATTAATCAAACGATGCTTTAGCCATAAAGAAAGCACGTAGCAAACAAATTCTAACGTTTCTACTTAATCATCAAGCAGCATCAACATTTAACAGAATGCGTAAAAAATTATAAATATATAGATAAAACATATATTGAAAATGTCATTTGGCATTTAAATTTAGGCTCTTGAATGCCAATTACGAATTCTCATGAATTTACCGTAGCGTATGAATGCGTATTGAGGATATATTTAAACAAAAAAGAGATTTCAATTTTTTTTATATTCACAATATAGACAGTATATTATAAAGTTTATTGCATCATATATACGTTAAGTCATATATACGTCAAGTCTTTTAATAATTTGTAAATTTAGTAAGTTCTCTTTTAAATGCATCTTTTTCAAAATAATTTGCTTCGATATTACTTTGGAGAACTAAATATCTATGAAATATTCTTTTTACTTGAGTTTGAAAGTGATAATTTGTCGCCACTTCTGTTTGAAATAGTTATGCTGAGCGCCAAGAAATATACTTTAAATAATATACATTTAATCCATGTTTTTAGGTTGGTTACAACACACGTTTTTGCAAAAAGCGCGGGCTACATCCCATGACATGAGATCGAAATGATAGAATAAACAAAAAAATAAGATCAGATGTAACCAAAAACGTTGAATGCTTAATTCTTCTTAAATAATAATGAATAAAAGTGTTGTGAAAATATAATGGAAGTATAAGCTTCTTATTTTTTTAAGTTATTAATTGTTGTTAGCTAAAATAAATACAAATTAATTTGGAATGATGGTGGATTGCCAGCCTATTTTAATCATCACAATATATTGTTAAAAATTTACAAAAAATGTCAAAATCTGAACAAAAGGAACGTTGTACTCAGCTTACTCTGAAATCGTATTTCAAAAATACTGAAAAGAAACAATTTACTCCACACAAGTAATATATAATTTTCGATTTAATTTATTTTATGTCGGTCTATCTAGGGTTGTTATTTGTATTGAAATTTTAGTTCAAACAATGTTGTAATAATATGTGAAAGTGACGACGATGACGACGACGACGATAATAATTTCAATACTAAATCTATAATTCCTAGAGCATGCGAGCATGTAGATTTAACAGGTCCACAGCCTACCGTTGTAGTTTCAAGAAATGTAATCGATCCACCTGCTCCAGATTCTTTAATCTCAGTTGTAAGATACGACAATATATTTGATATGTAGTTATGTATTATTATTGTCTTTTTCATATTTCAGAATGATTTGATTGATGAAAGAACATTAAGGGATGATACAAAAAATGTAAATCTTGATTCTTTTTCGGTTGGTCATGAATCGTTCATTCATTGCATAGATGATTCCTTAGATGAAATAGAAAATTTGAAAAAAGCACGTTTAAATGATAAATTGCCTTCCATGTCAGTAGATTTTGTTTATAATATCGATGATACTATGAAAGCCGAAGATGATAATGATTGTATTAAACCTTGTATAATTAAACCAAAGTATTCTTTAAGCATTAAAAAAAAAATTATGATGAGTAACTGTAAATCCAAATCCAGTTTGATATCTGAATCAAATAAGGTCGCTGGCGCAGATATTAATTTCGACGAGTTAATAGATCGTTCGACCTCTACCGACGATGAAAATGAATTTGCAAAGAGCAAATGTAAAGTGGTAAATAAATTTGTCAAAAAATCCAAGAATTTAGGTAGAGTAGAAGATCGTATGTCGATTGATTTATCACCAACAATAAATACAATTGAATCATCTTGCAAAGAAACCGTCTCTGCTAAAATTATGTCTTCAAATGGGAATGACGAAGAAACAGTACCAACAAATCTATTAGAAACAAAGACCTCGTTAGATTTAAATAATATAAATTTGAAGAAATTAGGTTTCAATGAAGATTTAATGAAGTGGATAAGTAGCACTAAAACCCATCCTTTAATTTCCTCGAGTACATTAGCCGTAAGTAAAAGTTGACTAATTTACAAGGAAATTAATTATATTTAACATTGTATAAAAGATATATTGATTTTCAGATATCTAAGGAGAAATTAACATCCGAAAAAAATGATTTGAAAGATATTCAAATAGAAATATTGGAAAAATTTTTCATAGCGTTTGATAAAATTCCTATTCCAATATTGTCCAAGTTTCCTGAATTTAATGCTGTTTCTTGTCAACAACTACGAAGTTTATATCAAAGGATAAAGGCTAAAATACGTCAAGCGGATAAGAAGCTTCAAAGTATTAATATTCAAGAACAAGATGAAGAAGTACGAATTGCAGAAAATCAACAATATTTAGAAAACTCTTACAATGATTCTATTAATAGTCGTGAAGCAGATTCTGATTACGTTCCTTTGTCGACCGATGTTGACTCTAGTGTTAACGATAAAAATAAGTGTATTAAACGTGTATGTGATACTAGTTTCGTCAGCGAAGATTGTATTACAAAAAACGAAGACACATCGATGCACAATAATTATAATAATCAAGACGTATACTCTAATGACTTATCATATTCTAACGATCACTCGTTCAGACAATATCTAAATCAAAGCAAAGATAATTCTGCTAACTCTCCAATTGAAGTTAAAAAGAAAAGTCGATTTCAGTTGAAAATGCCAATTAAAGCAACCGTTAATCCCGCAGTGTCCAAACAAATACAAGAAATGATGGATAGAAATCAACAAGGTAAAATCAACGTACTATGTATGTTGCATTATTCTAATAATCGTGCAATATATAATTTCAAATGGGCTTGAAATGAAAGCATTTGTCCACGAGTTTACAGATCATCTGTTTTATCCTTGAATTTATTTTATATTATTGAAAACAATAGTATTTACTTTATGTTACTAATGAGTTAAATTTTAAATTTAAAAATGCCAGTGCAAACGATTATGATTCGTGAATTTTAACTAATATAAAAATTTTATTTTCGAAAGGTATTAATTTCATCTCAATTTTACGTTTTATTATTATTATTTCATTAAAGATTTTAATGCTATAGATAAAGAATCCGGCTTCGATGTAAATATTCAGAGCGAGGAGAAAACCCTGACTCAACAGGTATTTGAACTTCCCGATTTAGATAAGGATATAGTTAATATGATAACACCATCTCCGAATAAACAATTAAAAAAATTGAATCGATACAGTAATGACTTTAAAGAAGATTGTAATTCCGGTAATGTACAAAATGGTGGACAATTTATCGGAGATTTTAAAAACGATGGTGTCACCGGTGTGTTCGATAGTTTGGACTATCCTCATTCTAGAAATATGATGAATGTTCGTAATGCATTGAAAATTTAAGTATTAATCAAACGCAAAATTATTCACAAAAAATTACAAAATATTGCAATTGTTTTTTAGTTATTTCGACAAAAATTTGGTTTGCATCAATTTAGACCAAATCAGTTGCAAACTATTAACGCTGCTATCTTGGGATGTGATTGTTTCGTTTTAATGCCAACCGGAGGTGGCAAATCTTTATGTTATCAACTACCCGGTATACACGCATTGGGAATTACAATTGTAGTTTCACCATTAAAAAGTCTAATACTTGATCAAGTACAAAAATTAACTTCTCTCGATGTAAGTCTTGCTCAATCATTAATATATATGTAGAATTGTCGATCGATCGTATATTCGTAATTGAAAATTAATAGAGAAATATGTAACTTAGATATATAGTTCAAATACTTTATTGTAATTGCATTTATAGATATAAATGCTTTATATAAATAAAGAATCCCATGCTTCGCACATATAAAAAAAGAAGTGTATATTGCTTTCATTATGTTAATAATTTACGAGTTCAACCAATTATTTATGAACAACGTTTATTTATAAATTTTAAACTGTTTAAAAAAGAAAAGGACAAATTATCATATCGAATCGATATTTTCACATTTCAATGCAAATTACGTAAATTGCAAATTCATCGGCTCACTAACTAGTTTTCTTTTACAGATTCCAGCAGCTCATTTATCAGGTAGTGCAACGGATGGAGAAACACAAAGAGTTTATACAGAATTAGCTAAAAAAGAGCCAGCTTTAAAACTTTTATATATAACTCCAGAAAAACTCTCGGCTTCTCAAAAACTATGCAGTGCTATTACGGCTTTGTACGAAAGAAGATTGTTGGTAAGATTTGTAATTGACGAAGCTCATTGTGTTAGCCAATGGGGACACGATTTTCGTCCAGATTATAAAAAATTGCGAACACTTCGGGAGAAATACCCGAGAGTACCAATTATGGCATTAACAGCTACGGCAACACCACGTGTCAGAACTGACATTCTTCACCAATTGGGAATGACTTCCCCCAAATGGTCAGTGCTAAAGAAATTAACAACGGAAGATTTAATTATGAGAATATATATTTGAGAATAAATATTATCGATAGATGTATTTGCGCACAAGCCTAAACGTCAAACGTCTTAATTAAATAACTCTCTTAAATTGTACTCTCCACATAATTCTCTCATTAGATTAATTACAATGAAAACATAATTAAAATTATAATATTACCTTAATACGAGAAATGTTTCTTATTTTAGGTTTATGTCAAGTTTCAATCGGCCTAATTTACGTTACATTGTCCAAAGTAAGAAAGGAAAAAATTCAACGGAAGAAATCATCGTAATGATTAAAAATATGTTTAAAAACGTTTGTGGTATTGTTTATTGTCTTTCTAGAAAAGATTGTGATAATTTTGCCAATTCCATGAAAACCAATGGAATAAAAGCCCTTAGTTATCATGCCGGGCTTACTGATCAGCAGCGAATAGATATACAAGGCAAATGGATTTCTGAACAGGTATTTTAAGTAAATGCTATTTATGCGCTAAAGTAATGATAATTATGCACGAACATTTTATTACGTGCCACTGAAAAGTATAAAAATCATGATAAAACGTTAATGTTTAATGTTGAATAGATTTTATTTGAAAATTTTTTATAATTAATTTAAATTTATAATTAACCAGCAGATTTTATCAATCAATCAATTGAGATAATCTTTGCTATAACGATTTAAGTTTAATGATACTTTTAAATGAGAATTGAAATTTCATAATCGTCTACATTATCGTAGATCAAAGTTGTTTGCGCTACCATTGCCTTTGGTATGGGAATAGATAAACCGAATGTCAGATTTGTTATTCATGCAACTTTGCCAAAATCAATCGAGGGCTATTATCAAGAAAGCGGTCGCGCTGGTCGCGATGGCGAAAATGCAGAATGTATTATGTTTTATCATTACGGTGACATGATGAGGCACAGGAAGCTGATACAGATGGACGAATCACAAAATATCGATGCTCAGAAAACCCACATGGATAATCTCTTTAATATAGTGGCTTTTTGTGAAAACAAAACCGACTGTCGTAGATCATTGCAATTAAATTATTTTGGAGAACTATTTGATAGATCTATATGCATGGCCAAGAGAGATACTACTTGTGATAATTGTAGAAGTCAAGTAAGCAAATGATTATTTAGAAAAGTATATTGCCTTTCAGATTTTTATATCAATTATATAAACATAAGTAATTAATATTCAATAGTTAGTAGTAATTTTGCACAACTGATATTCATTAATTTAAGATTAATTTTAAAAAAAGTTTGTTAAATTATTACGTCGATTGTCGATATTCTTCTATACGAGTTTCAAGTTTTCTCACAAATACAATTATTAACATCTCTTACCTTCTGAAGCTTTTTTTCTCTTTTAACCGTTTAACTAATTAGTTTTTTTTTTTTTTTTTTTTTTTTTTTTATAACATTTAATCGTATCAGTTGTTTAAAATGAAAATCTTATAATTAAAGAAATTAGTTTAAATTTTCAAAAATTTTATTCTCTCCTAGGGACAATTTTGTAACGAAGATGTAACGGAACATGCTAAAGCCCTTGTGACGTTAATTCGAGATTTCTCAAAGGGAAGAATTAGCATTACGATTTTGTATATAGCAGACGTCTATAAAGGCAGCAATTTAAAGAAAATTCGGGACTTGGGTATAAATATTTTCATTTCAATTTTATTTACCTTCATAAATGATAACTCGAACTATATTGACAATTTATTTTGAAAAAAAAAAAAGGTCACGATCGTCATCCCCTGTATGCTAAAGGAAAGTTATGGAAAAAATACGAAATTGAAAGATTGATGCATAAATTAGTAATAGATGGTTATCTTAAGGAAAACTTGTATATAAATAATGAAATTACTTGTGCTTATGTTGGGCTTGGACCAAAAGCTCAAGAATTGATGACCTGCAACAACGTTAAGGTAACAAATCAATTAAGTGGATTAGTTAATCATTACTTTTTTCACAAGTTTTTTGTATTTCATATATTATTTAAATTTAACATTATTTAAAATAATTTCTTTCTTTCTTTTTGTTTTAAAGATATTTTTGCAAATAAAGAAGGAATCGTCATCGTCATCGTCATCTACCAAAGTAGCTACTGTATCAAGTGCATCAAACGCTGCCGATAATAAGCAGGGCTTAGATATAGACTTAAAAGAATTGAAGCAACAATGTTACACGGAATTGGCTCAAATTATTAATGGTATTGCTGGTGCTTTGGATGTTTCAGCCAATTCTATAATGAATATGGTTGCTGTTCGAGTGATGAGCGAGCAATTGCCTGAAACAGAAGAGGCAATGCTGAAGATACCCCATGTCACGAAAGCTAATTTTCTTAAGTACGGTAAAGCTTTGCTTGACATAACTCAGAAATACGCAGCAGAAAAGTTGGGTTAGTATAACTAACGATAGATTCAATATAAATACGATCGATATTATTGTAATGCAATTTGAACGAATGCAATTACTTCTACAATGATTTAGTATTGCTGGCCGAGCATGAGGAATCGACTAAAACATCTGCTACGACCACCGTGGCTCCATATTTTAACGATGATAACGAATGGTGCGAAACTAAAAATAGTAGCATAAAGAGTAATCGAAAAAGAAAAGGAGGATTCAAAAACGGTCGTTTTACAAAATTTAGACGTACTGCTAACAGCCCCAAAGTTGGATCTAGGTAAAATATTTTTTATTTAAAATTTTTAATTTATTAACTTTGCACAATATTTATTTCCTATGTGTCTTAATTGATTATTCGTATGTAAAATATGAAAGCAATAAACTACATACAAAATAATAATAGCTGTATGAAAATTATTAAATTAATATATAAAAATGATAGATAGTATCTTTAAAAAAGAAATCATTATTTCACTAATGTTAATATTATCATTGTTTTATTGGATTTTTTATTGTCTGTTTAAGTCAAAATTCAGGAAAAGCTCGAAATACTAGTACCACAAAAACCAGAGGTAAAGCTGGAAGATCGTCTAAGCCCGCAGGACCTGGCCTCGTTGAATTTTCCCATAAGAAGCAAGCAGGACGATTTCTAAATATTATTTAGTGAGAATCATTGTTTTCACTGGGTATATACTTTTTTGTACATTTGTATCCACAGTATTATATATTATATACTATACTAGTTTTTAAAATTATATCTTTTCAAATAATTGTATTAAGAGAAGAGAATTTTATAAATATTGTAGATATAAATAAAAATCGATAACTTTTACATCATTTTTGTATGCATAAAAAATTTTATTAAGAAATAAGGAAAAAAGTATTTTTTATATATATATATATGTGCACACACACACACACACACACACACACACACACACACACACACACACACACACACACACACACACACACACACAGAGAGAGAGAGGCACACACGAAAAATATACTTTATTTAGCCTGGTTAATTAAAACTATTTCAATAAGCTATGAATATACAACTAGACTAATACAAATTTGGTTGTGCAATACGACTTTCTCTATTTTCATTTTTTATGTGTTTTTTAAGCAAATCCATAATTTCATTTTCAAATTTAGGTGGCACTGGTTTCACTTCTGCCGCCCAATAAAATATGTCCCAATCATTTGATGGAAGATTTATCAAACGATCGTATTGCTTAAGTTGTTCTTCGTTAAAGCTATTTAGATATTTTTTAGCAAATGTACTAAGAAGAAGTCCATTCTCTAACATCCCACGTTTACGTGATTGATACAATAATCTAAAGATCAAAACAAGTATAAAATACAAAAATCAGTTAAATTAATCGTCTATATTATGTAAGATTTTTTTAACTTATGCCAGTTTATCATATAAGAAATATCATTTAAAAAATAAGGTTTATCGATTACAAAAAAAAAAAAAATCTTGTAAATTTCATATAGTTAATTTTTATTTTTTCATTCATATTTATAAAGAAATACTCTCAATGAGTTTAATTAACAACTCCAACTTAACGTACACAAAGATTGTACAAATTATATACCATTCCTATGAGGTAAATAAAATTTTAATTGCATCTCTAATAAAAGCTAAATAAAAGCTATATTGTTATTTAAAACTTAATAAAAGTCAATAAAAAACAATTTATAAACAAACAATTCATATTGATGTTATTATTTTACCGTGCCCGCTTAACCGTTATATCCTCGCCTTCCCTTTCAATATAATTTTGTACATTTGGTTCTTCATTTTCTACATAATCCACATCGTACGGTTGATTATTCGTTAAAATAGTTGTAGAAATTCCTTTTGCAGATGTACGGGATAAAATAACCTAAAATATATTAAAACTGTAGCTACTTTCCGATTCTCGTAGTAAAATAATATTTTTTACAATAAACCTCCCATAATTTTATAAGTGTAAAATTACATTTTGAACCAATATCGAGTAGTTACGCTTGATAATACTATTCATTTTTTTCTAATGAACTTTATTTATGCAAAGAACATCAAAATTTCACAGGAGAGAACGAAATTATATTGAGCATAAGAAGTTGGAACACAAAAATAATTCCAACGCCCGCCCAGTCATCCGCTACTTGTCTACAATTTCAATTCGCCTCATAAGAAATATAAGATTTGTCGAGAAGATTAATTAATTGCCGGTGGAAATTTTTATTTAATTTGCAATTTTCCTTAATCATTGAAAATTATCGATAAAACGCATCATTTCAAATTATAATCAACGTCTTTCTTTACTATGATTATTCAATCACACTTGTTATCAAGTCGAAAAACAATAACAATTGTACCATATATTGTATTAATTTCTATTTTTACCTTTATTTTGTTTTTGTTTTTGTTTTTTCATTTTGTTTCACATTCAATAAGCAGTTGTAAGGTTGAAAATAACAACAGATTATGGAAAAAAAAATTATTACATACTTTTATTACTTAAAAATATACAGTAGTCATTCATTAGTGTACAGCATTCATTTCCTTTTAATTATATTTATTCAAAAAGTAAAAATAACGAAACCATAAGAAATGTTACTTTTGACACAATAATTTGCTTAAAACAATTTACTAATTTAAAGTAGGTGTATTATTTTTTTCCAGATTTTTTTATTCCACCGGTGACAAGAGGACCTTTTTGACCAGCTTTTTTCACAGCATCCGCAAGTGCTTTCTGTTGTTCTTTCTGCTTCTGTTTAAATGCTAAATCATTGTCGTCTAAATCTTTGGATTCTTTTTTTGGAGCTTTCAATGGTTTTTTTTTGCCACCTTCGCGTCCAGACATTCTACGAGCGATGAAAAGAATTGATATTAATATACAATTACAAGAGAGCGACTACCTATTGAAAATATAAAATACATTCAAACATCTGGCCAAAAGCGGATTGTAAATGAATTTTCTCACTAAAACATCATTATTTAAAGTATTTACAGTTTTCTATTCGATATCACTATTAATGGTGTAGTTCGATATTTGTAAACAAATCATAGAAATTATTGACTTTGATCATTTTCTGGGTAATTGAGCGAATTGAAGGTAACCTCAAAATTGTCTGGTCACCATTGAATTTTCATTATATTTGCACATAGCGAAAATCCGTAAAACTTATCTAATCCCAATGAGGAATTATAAAAGTAGAAAAAGTCAATTTTACTTACTCTAGTGGATGGATTTGTAACGTATAAGGCTCAAAAACGCTTATATTTTCTTTCTATCTCCTTATAATACAAAATAGCGCGTGCTCACTTTGTTGTGATGTACACATTGATGTTTATCAAACCGAAAACCGGACGCGGACAAGTTCGAAACTACGTAGCAGTAGCCAACAGAGAGCCAAATGGCAATTTTGCCTTTACCGAGTATTATTATCCTTCCTATCTCTCGATTTTAATTTTTATTCTACTTTACGTTACAAAAAGCTCATTCTGCCGCATTAAACAGAGGCTTTAATGCAGCCAATAACCCCGTGCCATTAATAAGAGGCCAAAGCCTTTTTTTATCTAATTATTTTCTATGCTTTGTGCGAACAAATTTACTCACTAACCTGCAATTTTATTGATATATGAGAGATAAAATTCTCCACAATATGCTTATTGACTTTGATGAATGCTATATCCAAATTCAATATACAAGTTTGAAAATAATCATATTTAATATACCATCTGATATTATTATAAGGATAAGAGTTAACTCGGCAACAGTACATTAAAAAAGCAAGAAGCCTAAGAATGTCTACTTGATTTAAAACTTTTTCTTCTCTATGTAACTTCTTTATATTAAACTCTTTCCAACTAATTAATTAGAAATTGACAATTGCATATTAATCTAAATTAACATTCGCTTAATTAATCCAATCCGTAGTTATAATTCTTGATGTTCTTGATCGATTTATCAAGATCAATGGAAAGAAATTGAACCGATAACATTTTACTCAAACAATATCCATACATAGGAAATCTAGAATTTCTTATTTACAAGGAATCTGTACAAATTTACCCTTGGTTTAGCAAAAAGAAGAAACAAAAGAAAAAACATTTGATAATAAAGAGGAAACTTGTACCGAAAGAATGTAAAATTATTATTTAACGTACGATTAAAATATGTTTATCGTCTTACTCAAATCTAAACTAAATGATAAATTGTTGATCGTTACAATGGGTTAACATAAAAAATAACACTCTACCAATGACAAACATGTAATCGATAATTGAAATACAAATCAAAAGTATAAACATTAAATGCTATGCCATACGTTTACTGCCAGTGTACGAATCATAATCAAAGCTATATCATTATAATCTCAAATTTTTTAAATTGATACGATGCAAGCGTTAAACATTTTAGATGTTAATTAACGAGACTAATAAATGTAACAATATTTTTTAGATATAAAACAATCAAAACGTTATCATTAACTGTATATATTCTATTGTGCATTTGGTCGAGTAGCATTAGAGTTGGATATAGCCATAAGTGACCTTGATACTTGATCTAATGATAATACGAGATAGAAACAGATAGATTAAATAATCTACCAAATATTAATCACAAAACTCTTGTATAAAAAAATTCTTCGATAAAGACGTCTTCTAATCACTGTAGAGCAATGAAGAGCAAAATTGTCTCCAAATTCGAAAGAATACAAAAAAAATAATAACGCAGTCACAGGCGCGCGCGCGCGCGCGTTTCACACACGTTGTATAGACTGAGTTTATTACTGACCCAATGTATATCAATGACTGAATAACACCTTGGAAAAAAAAAAAAAAAATCACCATTTACTCATGCCGTTGCCATTATTCTATTTGTCATCCGGCTACGAACGAATATCGAATATTCGTTAAATAGGCGATTCTTCCCTTACCGAGAGTCGGTAACGATCGAGTAGCCATTTACAGAACAGCATAGTGGCAAGTAGGGCCCCCTATCGGCGTCCCGAGCTCAATAAACAGCCACAGCTGATTGTCAGATGATCGTCAGAGCTGCCAACTGTCTGCACTAACCAAATCTCAAGCATTATCGAGTAAATCGTAGGAATAAATCAACGGGATTTTTCTCGGTGGGAAATTCGTTGACAGCTCCCGCGATCCCTGCCAACACGTTCTCGGATAATTACCGAAGGATATCTAACGGGCCATTCGATAACTTGGTGCTCCCATAAGGAGGAGAG